AAGCAAAGGTTAGTTCAACAAAATACTGACACAAGTGGGTGATCCTTTTTCCAACTCAGGGATTTTTTTTTCTGAAATGTTGGTGTTATATCTTTCACTTGGATGTTATAAGTTGCACTGAGTAAATACAGCTGGATAAATCAAAAACTGTGTCAGTCTTCATTTCAGGGTGGAAAGCAACAAAATGTGATTATTTTAAAGGGGGGTGATTATTTTCTATACCCACTGTATAGAGACAAATCCCAACAGACTAAAGGCTGTAATTAAAGCAAAAGGTGGATCAACAAAATACTGACACAAGTGGGTGATCCTTTTTCCAACTCAGGGATTTTTTTTTCTGAAATGTTGGTGTTATATCTTTCACTTGGATGTTATAAGTTGCACTGAGTAAATACAGCTGTATAAAACAAAAACTGTGTCAGTCTTCATTTCAGGCTGCAAAGCAACAAAATTTGATTATTTTAAGGGGGGGGGGTGATTCTTTTATATACCCACTGTATGTGCTGTTGAGATGATTGCAGCTTGCCTTCAACATGCTTGCAATCCAATCTGTATTCAATCCATTCAGTGAATCTATGATGTACTGACATGGTTGGTGCTCATTTGTATTATGTAGCCTTATCAGACAGAAGGAAGGAGAGCCTGCGAGAAAGAGACAGACACTGTGCTGCAGTCTTATGTGCTCAGCATGGCGATGGCTCTGATTTGTGCACTCACGAACCTTTATAGATCCCGCTGCTTTACCAACACTGTCCAGTAAGTGGCGCCACCAGGCAGCGGTGCCTCAACAGAAATCCAATCAGCCTATTAAACAGGGTATAATATAACATCTGCCTATTTTTATATTGGCTGTCAGTGTCAGGGAATTAATCCCCTATAATAGGGGTCGCAAACTCAAATTACTTATGTGCCACAAGCCAGATGGTTTCTATTGGGGGCAACAAACACAAGTGCTTAACAAGCCTGAATTTTAACTGCATATACATTACTGTTCAACAGTTTGTGGTCAGTACGATTTTTTAATTTATTTTTGGGAAAGAAATGAATGCAGTTCTTCAGCAAGGATGCAATAAATTGATTCAAAATTACAGTAAAGGCATTTATAATGTTACAAAAGATTTCTATTTCAAATATGTATTGTTCTGTTGAATTTTCTGTTCATCAACCAATCTTGAAATAGTTGTATCACAGTTTTGCTCAAACATATGCAGTGCAAATGTTTTCAACATTGATATTAATAATAAATGTTTCTTGATAAAATCAGCACAATATAATGATTTCTGTATGATCATGTGACACTGAAGAAAATGCTACTGAATTTTTTTCTTTGCCGTCACAGGAATAAATTAAATTCAAAGAGAAAACAGTTATTATAAAAATGATAAATTATAAAAAATATGTTGAAGTGTTACTATTTTTACTGCATTTGTGATCAAATCAATGCAGCCTGGGTGAGTATAAGAGTATAAAATATCAAAAATATAAATATAAAATATCTTACCAACTTTAAAACAGTAGTGTAGTTACAGACCAGGATTTTTTTTTTGGGGGGGGGGGGACTTTTTCATCTTTTACTCCTATCTAGCAAGGTGCTCTGATGATGCTTGAGATATGGCTTTGAAAATGCAATTGTCTCCTTAGTAGTAGACCAGAAACATCACCTGAAATAAAGGTTAGAATTTAAGAAGTAAAATACATAGCAGTCTGACACCTCTCATATGTTATATTGGTGCATACAATTATTTTATTTCAGATGAGAAGGCAGAATAAAGTGACTGGAGTAGCTGTGCATGTCAAAAATAAAGAAATGGGCTATTGTGAACTACAGGTCTGTCACAATGCTCTGTTTATAATGATGTAGTTTTGTGGTATTACAACATTTGATGTAACCAGACTTTTTGCCTTTCACCTTTGTCATTAAGCACTGTTTAGTTTGGGTAATTTTGTAATCTAATTTTGCAATTTGTAATCTAGCAGGTGACTGGTATCAGACTGGCCTTTGACAAGAACTGAAAGAAAACAAAGACGCACTATTGTTGAACACATTTGATAAAATTTTGAGGAAGATTAAAAAAAATGGTAAGGCACATGTCTACTTGGCTGTTTATTCTGATCCAATGGAATCTTTTCACATAGGTTTCTTAAAAGCAGAAGACATTCATAGTTGGGTAAATTTCTATAGTGGTGAACGGACAACAAATATGATTTTTGCATTGCCATTTGTTCCAATAGCAATATAAAAAAAATCCACTATAGCTTTTTTAAATAACTTTACAAAAGAATAAAAAATACTATAGAAATTCATTTGGTTAGAAGAGAAAAAAGTTGACAAATTTCTGTCAGTCCAGACCCTGTTGCACTTTTGGGCTTCTCAAAAGCAGTACTCATCATTGTAAACTTCTATAGTAGTGAACAGAAACTATAATTAATGCATTTTTTTGTGTTCCCGTTAGATCCAATAGCAAAAGAAAAAATAGTGCAATAGTGCTTTTATGACTTTCCAAAAGAGGAAATAATATAGAGAGATTATGATTATGTTGTAGCCAATTAGAATCACTTACAGCAGCAATAACCAGTTTTCTGTAATTTAATGCAAGATTAATAAAACACAAACTACAGTATTTTTTTAAAAGTGAAAATACAAAAAATCTTTAATAGATTTATGATATTAAAAGATGGGGAAACGCCTTATCACAAAAAAGGGTCCAGTAAAAACACTCACACATTTAACTAATAATTTAAGAAAGTATAGTGATGTAAATGTACATTAAATTAAAAAAAATTGAAAATATAAAAAACTGCTAGATTTATGAAGCTAATAACTGTGGAAATGTGTTATAACAGTCTATGAAAAGGGTCTGTTCATCCAAGTCACCCAGAATTTTGTCTTACAGTAAATGTGGGATTCATTTTGACATTGATGCATTTTCAAATATTTTGTGATTGTGAAAATGTAATAGAATTCCACTTTCAATTCCAGTGTGAATGCAAAAAGAACTGTGTTCTTCACTTTTCACTCAGTTCAGGATCTCAGCACTGATCAGCCATTGTGGATAGTGGGCAAAATGGTTAATTTCCCACCCTGCCTGTAATGCCTAACTGCCTCTGTGTGTGTGTGTGTGTGTTAATTTGCCTGTAAGCCTGTAATGCCTAACTGCCTCTGTGTGTGTGTGTGTGTGTGTGTGTGTGTGTGTGTGTGTGTGTGTGTGTGTGTGTGTGAGAGAGAGAGAGAGAGAGAGAGCATTAAACATTGTCCTGACGCACAGGAGAGAAAGAGATAGAGATTAATGCCAACAGAGCTTCACACAATAAAAAAACTCTGTTGTCTGTACTGCTGCCCAGTCATTCTCATTCATGTCACTCCTCTCCATACTCCTAAACAACGCTACAGTCCACATAGTGCATATAGCAATTGATTAACGGTAAGTCCTGAAAGTCAAGTGGAGAGTCACTGTAGCTCAGTCTTACTAAACAGAGGAGAGTGATCAGTGCAGGAGCTGTTAATTAAGGATCAATTACAGCTATAAGTGGAAGATTACACAACAGCAACAGCGGAAGCCATTCACCGGATCCTGAACCTAAAATCCGATGTTTTGCTGGAGAAACAGTACCAAATATTATACACCTTTAAAAAGGTTATTTATTGACATTTCCATTAAGAAGCTTTCCATTGCACAAAGGTTCTTCAGTTATTAAAATTATGAAATTCTTCACAATAAAAATGTGTTTCCTTTAAACTCTCTTATTTTCACACCATTAATGCAGGTATTTTTTCATATCTGGAATGAAAAAATGGTTAAATGCTGTAAAGATCTGTGTGTCTGTGATGCATTTGAGTCATGTAACTATCAATCACAACCAATTCAGGATCAGGCATCACATTCTGCTCTTGCTGTCATTGCCTTTTGATACCCCTTTAGACATTTTATTTTAGGGTGCATTTGGCAAAGCTGCAGTCTCTTCCCAATCTAACAGCAGGTCCTTTACTTTAACTCAAGAGTGCCTGCGAGGAGGATGTTGGCAGACCAGCTCTCGGAAAACACTTGGGATTCTGTCCTCCAGCAAGTTCACTCTTCATCAATGTTTGCAAGGCACTCGTTCATACAATTTAAAGTAGTGCACCAAGCTCATATGTGCACAGTTAAGATTGAAACTACTCAGCCCTCCATGTACTAGGTGTAAATGTGCAGATGCCTCACTTGGACAGGCCCCAATCTGGAGCATTATTGGCGATCTGTAGGCTATTTGAGACTGTCTCAGCACAGATTACCAGATCCTCTGCTAATGTTGTTTGGGGTTACCCACAGGAGTTGTGGCATGATTTTTACATTAATTTATACATTTGCATTCATCTGTATTGCTTAAAATAACTAAAAAAACTACAATTGAATTATTGTTTTCGTTAATTAAAATGAAATATAATGTTATTAATAACTGAAATAAAGCTGAAATAAAACTAAATATAAAACAAACTTAAAAATTAGAAATATTACCTTGGCAACTAACTGAAATAAAATGAGTTGAATAATTGACGTATTAAATGACTAAAACTAATATGGAAATAAAAATAAACAAACAAATAAATAAATATGGCAAAAGTAAAAAAATGTAACAATAAAAGCTCATTTAAAATAAGAATAAATATAATAATAGTATACAAATAATACTAAAATAACACTGCATTTTATATATGGTATTAAATTGTTTAATTTCAGCTCCGTTCACCTCTAAATTTCCTTAAATTGCCAGTCTTGTGTCCCATAATGATCAGTGTTTAGGAATAGGCGATGAGGCAAGTACTTTTGTGGTGTTGCAATTTGCGTTTTAAGAGAAAATACAATCAAAAGAACCCTTAAAGCTATGAAATTTAAAGAGGACTGATAACGGGAGGGAGGGAAGGATGGGGGAGTGGAGAGAGTTAAAATTATCCTCCCTAAAGCAAATCCTTCTCAATCTGATCAGTGTGTTTGGAATAGACCAACTTGCCCCAACTCTGTGGCTGACTGCAGGTGAGGGACCTTTTTAATTCTCCAGAAAACTCATAGGCAACTTTCTGATGGAGCTGATTCAAATTTACTTCAGAAGGTATGGTTCAGATCGATTATCAGTGTCATTTAGAAAGTGTGATATAATTGTGGCTTTTTATTGTATGATTAACGTTCATTCCGCTTTGCACTGCTGATATTTTACTTATCAAATGTAATGAGCATTACTTTTGTTCCGCATGAATAGCCATGTGGTTTTAGGAAAACTGAAGATGTAAGATAATCTGTTTTTGCCCTCGCAAACTTAAATCTTCCTTTTTGGAGAAATTTGAGCTGCTAAAATATTGCCATTTATTTGTTTATTTGTATTTTTTTTAGGGGAATTCTAAAGTGAGGTTTTAGATATTGATTATATTGCTAATTTACAATGCATGGTTACACACAGTAAATATAGATGGGAAATGTCTTTTAGAAGAGGAATGCATGAATATTGTGATGGATATTTCAATGGACAGTAACTATGTCATGCCTATAAATCACATACACTGTGATTTTACAATTGTGTTCTTGTAAAATTAAAATAGAAATCATTTCATTGATTGTCTGGCGAGCTTCAGCTTTTTTTTATTTTAGTAATGATAGTATAAACATGCTTTTCTGACTTTACTGTTTACTGTTGTTTACAGTGGTAAACAATATTTTTCTTAAAGCTTATTAGAGGTTCAGTGTAAAGCTTGCAAGAGCCTTAGGGTTAGCAATCATCTTTTCTCCTGCTATATACTCATCTACAGCACTGTTTTCAGTCGCCTAATGCAAATACATAAGGTTTTTGTATATATAAAACCATTGTGGCAACTGGAAGTTTTAATAGTTTTAATATGTGGTCAACAAAGGACACAGTACCTCATGAAGTACTTTGACCTGATTCATTAGGTGAACAAATCTCAATCTGTTCTAAGGACACCTGTTTTTATTTCATTATGCCCTACATGGATGTTTATTTTAGGTTTTGGTTCAGTTTTACACTACAGTGCTCATGTTACTGTAAAATTAGACAAGCAAGTACTGAGTAATATAGGAAACATGGACATTCTATGGAAAGTATTACGTTTTCTAACACTAGATGGAGTTTAGACTTACCTCACATTTGATATGATCTAAAACAACAATCTTTTAAGCAAATAGTAATACATACTACTGAGCAGCCAGAAAGTCTTGTGGTATTTTATGGATGATTTGATTTGTCAAGTGCCTGAATGCTTCCTCTAAATGCAAACAAGAATGACATTCATTTGGTCATTTTGGTTTACATTTAGTTTTTGCTTCCTGATATTTTGTGTTTATGTTTTTGGTCCAAAGTAACTTCAAGTTAATTGCAGAAACAGTTTCCAAAGTAAAATGGTTGCTTTTCTTGGTCCACCATTCTTTGGGATTTAATCGTTGTTGCACTTTTAACCATTAGTCTACCGTTAGTCCAGACCCTATTCTACCACCAGCCATTCATTGCATCTCTGAATGATTGCACTCAACCCATGTCCTTTTCTTTGAGGATGAAAAAAAAAACATCTAATGTAAATTAATTTAAAATGGTCAAATCATGTAGGCTATATAAATGACCCTTTTAAAAAGATACGCATGATTTTAGAGCTAATCATGTGTAAATGTACATCCATGACATCTGTTTGTGAAATGATACAGACAGATTTAAGGAGCTTAGCACCAGTCTACTTCCCTCTATCTAGTTAGCCAACAGATTTTGAATGATTTAACAGATTTATTTAAGTATCAGTACAATTAGGCTGCGATCAGGGCCTATAGCAGCAGGACAGGTGTTACCTTAAGTGATTCCTGAGACAGAGTTCATGTATCTCGACTTGGTGATGACCCTAGTTGAGATTCTTTCAGTAGGCTCCTCTTTAAATTATATGTAATAATTCTGACTGGTGTGTAAGAGTACCAGACAATTCACAAATGCATTTGTGCACTCACTGCACTGCTAGTTGTGGACTGTTCTTTAAAAAGCAGAAAGAATTGGTCAAAAAAGGTTGATGTCTTGCAAAACAGGGATGGACAAAATGGTCATCAACTGATGATTATGAATATTTTTGAAAGAAGTCTCTTATGCTCACTAAGGATATTTTGAAGAATATTTGTAACCAAACAGTTGATGATAGCCATTGACTTTCAAAGGATTTTTTTCATACTATGGAAGCCAATGGCTACCGTCAACTGTTTGGTTACTAACATTATTCAAATGATCTTTTTTACTGTTCAAATTCATACAGGTTTGAAACAAGTGGAGGGTGAGTAAATGATGACAAAATTTTAATTTTTAGGTGAACTATCCCTTGAAGTGAGTGAAATTTCACTGTTCAAAATATATATCACTGTCATAATTACAGTTGATCGCTTTACACATGTATTTGTTGCTGCCGTAAAGCAATCTGCCCTTTTCACAGAATTCTGTACCCAAATTTACATACTCCCAGAACAGACGTATCAGAAATGTACCATGAGAATGATTTTGAAACTGATATTTCAAGGCAAAAAAAATTAACATTCAGGTGCTTTAAAAATTCTCAAAACACCTGAGGTCTGTTCTATTGTATTGCAAATGTTTTTAAAAGCAAGAATACATTATGTGTGAAAAGCACCATAAGAAACATGTCTATGGACTCTAATTATACAGCTGAATAGTCTGTAAAGTCTCTTCAAGTTTGCTGCAAGTCTAACTAAGCTGAAAGCCAAAGTGTCATTGGCAATCACCTTCATCTTTCACATTCTCACTCATTCTGTCTCAGTCACACGAGGATGCCATGAGCTCTGTCTAGTGATATGTCTAGAGTGACGTGCCGTACAGCGTGAAAATGTGGAATGGGCAAGCCTCTTAGGAGACTGCTGGCTACATGTAGAGTGTTTCTGAACTGGCTTATGTGCGCCAGACCATGACCCAACACCACCGACACATGTGATGGCAGCAATACTGCAGGAAGAGACTACTGTAAGCATGCCAAGCCAATTCACCATGGCCTTTAAGCCTTCCTAGATCCTATTAGACAGTCAACCTTGGGGACTAAAGAGCAAGAGCCCCTTCCTGTGATGTAGATCCTCAGGCAGATTCTACCAAACTATAGATCTTAAAAAATTATCAATCAATCAATCAATCTATATCTATCTATCTAATCTATATCTATATCTATCTGTCTGTCTGTCTGTCTATCTATTTTGAAAACCATCGTTCATCATTTGCATCACGTTTGTAACAGTAATCTGATTACAATAGCCAAGGGCGTTTTCAGCTGTTAGCGTCATTCACCCCAGGTGCGCGTCTGACTCAACAAGTCCATGTTGTTGACTGATCAACTCAGTAAATAGAACTGAGCTATATGCAATCCCACTACTGTCTTTGTTTTTTTTACTAAAATGATTGTAAATAACCCCAAAACTGTTTTTCCTTGGGGCACAGCTGACTGAAATCTCTCTTCTAATCTGCAGGGATGTGCCTGACAGAATCTGGAAATTAAAGGATTACTGCTAACTGCCAAACACTGGAGATCTGGTTTGCCAAATATTTCATCAGGCCAGGGCAAAAGAGCGGTCAAGGGGTCCTACTTTTGCTCTGGTTTGTTGGCTTGTGTGTTTGTACACTGGAATGTCTGCGTCTGATGGATTTATAACCATTCACAGTGGAAATAACATTCTGTGCTCACAAAAATATAAGCAATGTATTTTCTGAACATTACTTGTGGATTTCTAAATCCACTGCTTGTTCTCCAATGACCTCTTTTCATGGTGCGCATCCCACTGCTGTAAAGAAGAAATCAATGATGACAAAAGACACAAATTATGCCATTATGGCTTTGCCTTTCTCAGAACACATGAACTGGGGAGGGATTTTTCGTTCCCACTTTCTTCTTTTTCTCATATCTTTATTACCATCTGTTACAGTTTGTAGCATTCCAGGTTTGGAATATGACTGGGGAACGCAACCCAAACTTGTTTGCATCCCTATTCCTGCAGATGCAGACCCTAGTTGTTTCACACCAGGTGGGGCTTCACATGGGACTGTACATGGGGCTCCACATGGGCCAAACAGCAATGGACACGGGAATGGCCATGGGAATGGACATCATGGGGCAGTTAGCGGGCTGCCGAGTAGTCACAGCAGCAGTAGTAGTAGCCGACATGGCATATCCGATGAGGCCAAAGCCACCATCCTTCACCTGAGGGAGAGCCTTGTGCGACAAAAGGAGACCATCTTGGATCAGCGAGAGACTATTCGGGAACTGACAGCAAAACTGACTCTCTGCGAGAGCTTTGGAAGGGGACACCATGATGACAACCATCACAGCCCTTCACATCACAACTCTCAGCATTCTTCACACCATTATGACAGCCACCATGCTGACCCACACTTCCCTTTAAACGGGCATCGCAGTGACCATCACAGAGGCAAATCTCCATATCTGGGCAAACACAGCTTCTCCCCAGAACAGACAGGAAAGACCCTGCAGGCCCTGAAGGAGAGGCTGGAAAATCTTCAGGTGGGAAGGTTTACAGTCTTAAACTGAAAGTTAAAGCCTGTAAATAATTGCAAAAAACAAAACATATATACACACTACTTTTCAAAGGTTTTGGGTCTTTCTTTACAAGTCTCTATGCTCACCAAGGCTGCATTTATTTAATCAAAAATAAAATAAAAACAGGAATATTGTGGAAACATTATTACAATTTCAAAAAAATGTTTTCTACTTGAATATATTTTAAAATGTCATTTATTCCTTTGATCACAAAGCTGAATTTTCAGCAGCCATTACTTCTGTCTTCAGTATTTGGTGCTCAAGAGACATTTCTTCTTATTCTTTTTTTTGGTCTACGCACCTCAGTTGGATTATTTTGAAGGCGCGGCGAGTCGCTAGCTGCTTCTTGTTTCATAAATAGAAAGCACACCATTTCGTTGAAATCTTTTGTAGCATTATACATGTCTTTATACTGTCACTTTTGATAAGTACAATGTATCTTTGGTAAATAAAAGATGACCCCAAACTTTTGATCAGTAGTGTTTCCCCAAGGAATCACATAGCTATGGAAATTATTTTAAGGAATATTATTTCCATGACTTTCCCAGGCCTGAAAAACCACAATTTTAAAATGTTTTCCAACTGCTTAGATTTTGTCTTCAGGGGTTACCCTGCATGTCACAGGTCGATCTGTATTCAGGACAACTTCTCAGCATGACATAAGCTCCTTTCCCTTTTTTGTAACATACACTTTGGTGGCTTCCTGTGACAACGACAGATCATTGAATACAGTCTTAGGTTTAGGCTGGCCAGTCGAGATTTGCTTATTTAATTAGCCAGATCCCTACCCTGGGGAAAGCACAACGGACCATACTACATTAACATGGATAACCCGTATACTTATTGTTACAATGCACTTACAATTGATCCTTTAAACCAGCCACAATGTGACACTTTCTTTGAATACAGTATGTATACAGTGAAACTGTTGCCATGCATTTAAACTCTTCTTTTTTAATTGGTCTTTAGTACACAAATGAATGGCTGATGAAGGATTTAATGTTGTAAAAGTTTGATGTGCTTTACAACTCAGATATTCTTCCTGTTTCCCAAAGTGATTTAAATATGACCACAAGGTTTATCAGAATTGTTGTTGTCTTTGAGAGGAAATGCACGCACTGCACAATGGTGACGGCACTCTGCAAATGTGCTAGTTGCTGCCATCACTAATTAGCCCCATCTGCCTTGATAAGCCATTAAGCGCAGAATGCTGTGGCGCAGAGTAAAGCTGGATTTGCTGTGACTAATCAGAGGAAGGAGTGCTGACAGTGAAGCTGGCTGTTGTGATTTTAACACACTTGTCTGTTTTCTAATACACTACCGTTCAAAATATTGGGGTCGATAAGATTTTTTATGTTTATGAAAGAAGTCTCTTTGCATTTATTTGATCAAAAAAATACAGTAACAACAGCAATATTGGGAAATTAAAATAACTATTAAAATAAAATAGCTGTTTTCTTTTTTGAATATATTTTAAAATGTAATGTATTCCTGCAATGGCAAAACTGAATTTTTGGAACTTCAGAATACTTCAGAAATCATTATAATATGCTGATTTGGTGCTCAAAAAACAGTTCTTCTTATTATACATTTTTCATGATTTTTTTATGAATAGGAGGTTCAAAAACAGCTTTTATTTTAAATAGAAACATTTTGTAAAATTATAATTTTTTATTGTCACTTTTGATCAATTTAATGTGCCCTTGGCTGAATACAAGTATTAATTTATTTAAAAAATAAAAATAAATACAACTGACATCAAACTTGTGAACAGTAGTGTATATTGAATGTTAATGGTAAAAGGTTTCTACAGTAAACGTGGTTTGTTATTGAAAAAAAAACATGGTGTCCTATGGTTTATAAAATAAAACTTTTTTTAAATACTGGTTAAGTTCTGTGGAACAATTGTGATAATTTTATAAAATAAGCATATATTTGCATTGGTTATTATTATCGTTGCATTGCAAACGTTGTGTTTAAAATCTAGCCTAAACTGTATATTTATGTTTATTGTAATTTTTGTTCATATAGGCAAGAAATTCATCCAGTTCCTATTCAAGTTCATTGAGAGACCTCCTGCAGCGCAAGATCAACACACTGGAAGAACAGCTCCATCATCACTATGGTCACCATGACAACCATCATGGATCTGGTCATCATGAGGATAACCATGACCATGATGACCACCTTAATAACCACCACAATAACCACCATGATGACCATCATGATAACCATGACAGCCATCAGGCAAACCATCATGATGACCATCACTCTAGCCACCATCGTAACCACCATTATGGCCATCACTACGACCGTTACAGTGACCACCACGACGACCACCATGGCAATCACCAAGACAATCATCAAAGTGGCCATGATGATCATCATGACAGCCACCACAACAACAACCACCATGATGATCATCATGATGATGACCATCATGGCAATGGACACCATGATGGTGGACACCATGGAAATGATGATCATGTCCACCATCCACAAACCTCAATCCAACCACCGGGGTCAAGAGTGCCTGTCCGTGGAGCCATCAGCAAATTAGATGCAGTGCTGAGTAACCTTCACCACAAAACTCCAGAACCAGGTGATAAGTCCTAAAAGTATTACAAAATAGAACTGAATTAACTCTGGCTAATCAAATTTACATTATTTGAACAGGACATCTGTAAGTGCTGAAGTGTAAGTGCAGAATCTTGGATTTTTATTTAACTGTTCAGACCCCAGGTCTTTGATTGAAAATTTGTCCCAACCAACTATATGCAAGTATAAAATATTCTATTTTGTATTTAATATTTGAATATACTTTAAAACGTGATTTATTCCTTTGATGGCAAAGCTGAATTACTACAGTCTGAGTGTCAAATGATCCTTCAGAAATCATTCTGTTATGCTGATAAAAATGTGCTCAAGTCAGTTATTATTGGTGGCCAACTATTTAGTAATTCAGGTTCTAATTATTGTAATAAGTTTTTGCTGCTTAATATTAAATGTTTTTTTGTAAATTACATTGACATGATACATTTTTTACTGAATTGTTTTACACATTTTTACATTATATGTTTATTGTCATGTAAATTGGGTCATTTACATTCTGGCCATGAAAACTAATAGCTTAAATTATAATTTATTTAAAGTTTTTTGGAAAAAAAGTTCAATTCAAATAACTTTTTAAATATGGTAATGTGTTTTTTAAATTATTATTATTCATCAACTGATTATAATTTATGTTTAGATTTAGAGTAGAACTATAAAGTATGGTCTTATTTTTGGTGCTCCTGGAACATATTTGAGATCTGAATGGGTTAAATGCGAAAACTGCAGAGAATTTAGTTAAATAGTCTGCTTCCAGGAGATCAGAGTCTCCAACTGTATTTTAAAGATTTCAGTGGTGCTTTTAGAGGTTATACTGCTGAGAAATGCAATCCCGTTTCACAGTTTCTTATTTTCATCTCTAACAGGACCAAATAAGAAGCCCAAGAATCCTGATGCTTTTCAGATTGGCTTCCCAATGCGCACCAACTACATGTATGGGCGAATCAAGCGCACCCTTCTGAGTGAGATTTTTGCCCTCACGGTCTGTCTTTGGTTGAAAGGGGGCTCAGGTCCTGGCATCGGAACCCCATTCTCCTACTCTGTCCCGGGCCAGGCCAACGAACTTGTCCTGATTGAATGGGGCAACAATCCCATGGAGCTGCTGGTGAATGACAAGGTAAAGAAATCAACCGATTATAAAACAGGGATTGTAACAAAAGTTTAATGCTCTAGATTCATTAAAAACAGGCAATCCTTACAAAAACATTTTAGCTTAGAAGTGTATTTAAATTGATACAATCAAATATGTCATAAACATTAGACAAAATGATTGTGATCAAATGCATTGTGATAAAATGCTAGACCTAGAAAAGGGGTCACCAGGCTTACCCTGATAATGCCCTTGCAACAGTCTGCAAAGCTCTCTCTTCCTCTTGGCTTCTCAGTCATTTGCATCATCCTGCCTAATTAGCTTAATTGGCTTATCCGTGGTTGACATGTGAATACATTCTACTGTTTTTTTCTCTCAATGACTGTTTATGTGCTGTCAACTAAACTATTTACAACTAATGCTGGCATGCTGCTCAAGTCTACACATAATAAACACTAATTATGAGTTTTGTCAGTGCATAGACTACTTTGATTTGTACTTAAAAGTACCAAATTCTACTTCATCCATGTCAATTTTTCATTTTCATTCTCTTCTTTCTTTTTTTTTTCTCGAAAATATTTAGTTAGTGTTTTATTGGAGAAACTATTGGAATTATTCAGTTTATTATTGAATTATTCATTATTGAATCACAAACTATAATTTAGAACATTATGCTATAATTAGAACATTATGCTAACCAATTTGTTCAAAAGAATCAACACAAAGTTATTCATATTATGTTATTCATATATGAATTGGGTATTGCTGGTTCTTTTTTAGGCTTTAATTTTGCATTAATTTATAGAACTCTGACAAGCATTGTTAGTTCTGATTCTAAACAGTTGACAGACAACATGGGAATATATTGTACACTACAATTCAAAAGTTTGGGGTCAGTACATTTTGATTGATTGATTGATTGATTGATTGATTGATTGATTGATTGATTCATTCATTCATTGAAAAATATTAAGCAGCACAACTGTTTTCAACACTGATAATGATACAAAGTATTACTTGAGCAGCAAATCAGCCTATTAGAATGATTTCTGAAGGATCATGTGACACTGAAGACTGGAATATTGATGCTGAAAATTAGTTTTTTTTCATCAAAGGTAAATCACAATTTATAATGTTTTAAAATAGACATCAATTATTATTATTTTTTTTTTTACTGTATTGATCAAATAAATACAATAAATCTCCTGACCCCAAACCCAAAATGGTATTGCATTTTTGCTGAAAAGTTGATAGGGAAAATATTTATTAAGTCAGTATATGGTAATCTCCATCACCCCAAAATAACAGTACTTTTTACAGGTAACAGTAACAGGTTTAAAACTAAACCTGGGACACAGCAGCATATATAGGCCTAGATATATGCGATAGTGTGTATGACAGAATTCTTAATACTATAATTACAAAAAATTAGAATGATTTCTGAAGGATCATGTGACACTGAAGACTGGACTATTGATGCTGAAAATTAGTTTTTTTTTCATCAAAGGTAAATCACAATTTATAATGTTTTAAAATAGACATCAATTATTGTTTTTGTTTTTTTTACTGTATTGACCAAATAAATACAATAAATCTCCTGACCCCAAACCCAAAATGGTATTGTATTTTTGCTGAAAAGTTGATAGGGAAAATATTTATTAAGTCAGTATATGGTAATCTCCATCACCCCAAAATAACAGTACTTTTTACAGGTAACAGTAACAGGTTTAAAACTAAACCTGGGACACAGCAGCATATATAGGCCTAGATATATGCGATAGTGTGTATGACAGATTTCTTAATACTATAATTACAAAACAAAGTTGCTGTATTGTACATTGTTGCTGTAAGATATACTCTGTTTTGCCCTCTTGCAGGCAGTTACTCTTCCTCTTTCTCTGACGGACAGTAAGTGGCACCACCTCTGTGTAACATGGTCCACACGTGACGGCATGTGGGAGGCTTATCTGGACGGTGTGAAAAGAGGCTCTGGAGAGAATCTGTCCCCGTGGCATCCCATTAAACCAGGAGGAGTCTTCATCCTTGGACAGGAGCAGGTATGTCTCACAGAATCAGTCAGCCAGTATAAAAAAACACTCATGCTAACTTGCGACTTTCTTCTACCCAGGACACTTTGGGTGGCCGTTTTGATGCCACACAGTCTTTTGTGGGCGAGATGTCAGATCTGCAGCTGTGGTCCCGTGTGCTCACCTCTACCGAGATCTACAACCAAGTGTCCTGCTCCAGCCATCTCACGGGTGACGTCATCACCTGGAGCGAGTCCATGGTGGAACTTCACGGAGGTGTCACAAAGTATCCGTTCGACCCATGTCATTAGGGATCTGACCAAACAGAGCTGGATTCTCCACACTTCTGCTTAACTTGCAGCTGGAAAGGTGGACAATTATGAATCCAGATGGAAAGGCTGAGGAGAAGGACTCAGGGTGCAGTTACTCCTGCAGGATAATAGGATTCCAAGCAGGTCTACATAGGCCCCGGGCATTTAACTAAGCACTTTATTAGTAAGTGTCTAAGAATTACATACTGCATATCGATAAGCACTTAGGATGTCAACAGACTGGTTGAACTACATTCCGTGGTTTTGATTCCCTTCCAAACACTAATGGAAGAACTTCAGTATGCTGAATGTGCAAAAACCCTACACAACAAAAACTAATTACAGTTGGCATGTACTATTACAATAAAGCGGGACAACATGGTCTATATTTATATCTATATGATGAGAAGTGAAATACACATTTTAAAAATGTTCTTTTGATTAGACTCATTATTTGGTTAGACCCATTTGTATTCGCTCTAGGCAGCATGGGGGCACCAGTGAGTTTTAAAGGCCTACTTCAGTGTTACATTTCCTAATCATCCACCCTGACTGGTCCGATTTATGCATGCATTTGTATGGATTTGCTTGTGTGTTCAAAATGAACTGCATAAATCAACTGTTAAAACTGCTTAACCTCGCCTTTGGTGTATATCTGTATTCAAATGTACATTTTAGTTTTTTTCTCTCTCTCTCTCTCTCTCTTCTTTCTAATTTATATAGCAGATATATGTATATATGATATTTTTACTCATTACTAACAATATGTTTGGGCATGTCTTTAATGCCTGTAAGCCAAAATGTACAAGCTTAACTTGAGACAAGTGTGTATTTAAATATTTTTTAAATAAAGTAATGGTTTTCAACTAATCAAATCGTTCTTTTAAGATGTCTTTGACATCGATTTTATAAAATGTCTGTCGATTACATGGTTTCTGGGTTTGCCAATTTAAAACAAATTATGCCAAATACACGTTGTCAACATGGTTTTATCATTATTTAGATAAAAAAAACTTTTATACCTTATTTAATTTTTTTATTTTTTTTGCACAATAATGTTTGTTTGTTTGAGTATTTCATTCATTTATTCATTAATATGCTATGCAGCAGGAGAGTTTTAATTACTGTACGTTAGAGAAGCTTGACAGCATAAACGCCAAAAAAGTGCCAATAATGAAATTTTCCTTCTTCCGCATACGTTGGGTTCATTCAAGCCAATCGGCTTTCAGTATTACATTAGTGCGTGGTTCAACCTGTGGTTCAGACAACAGGTGAAGAAAAACGTTTAAATTTAGCCAAATATCGATGAAATCCAAATTAATGATGCATCTGAAAACAACTGAGACTGGATGACAGGGCCTTATATAAATGATGGAATGGAGGATACGCATAGGTGAGTAAGAAGAAGAGGTGGAATGGGGCTCTCCGTTCTTTATGGTTAAGAAGTTGTGACTTGTTACGCTGATTATGATGCTGACTATTTCATCAGGGATATATTATCTGTGTACGTGAACATAAGGAAATATATAAAAGTGAAAAACAAATTGTGGAATTTTGTAACTTAAGCACCACTTTGACTGACTATTTAGGGCATAAATTAAACGTATATCTTCAATAAGAGCCACTGGTCAAGATGTATTAAAACTATTGGTACGGTTTATTTATCTTTAATCAAATGTGTGATTAACAGAAAGTTACAATCGATTACATAATCATAGCTGATGAAAGCTGTCATTCACACCGAGGACGAGACCTTATTGCATTGAGACATGCAAAAATCCAGTGCATTAAACTCCACTGTAAATGGAAACTGGACATTAGTTATTTGGTATAAGTATGGAGTATATGTCACCCAGCTTTAACTTACTTGACTTTTTTTCTCTTTTTTTTTAGTTTTGGTGTTTACTGTTTAGTGTGTAGTGTTGGTATCCTGATTTATTTATTTTTATTTATTTATCTGGAATAAAGTTTCATGGCAGCTGTGTTATACATGTTTTTAAAAGCTGTCTAAGTATACAATTTTCATTAAGACCTTATATATATATATATATATATATATATATATATAAATGAGAAATCCGTCATATGGTCTTTACTACAAAGAATGTTTTTCACAGGCAAACATTGAAAATGCATAGTGTCCATATAGCATCTGCAAATTTTGGAATAGACACATAAGATTGCAGATAACCAGTAGCATTATGTCTGTCTGGCATCCAGGGGACATCATCTCACCAGCTGGTGCCTGCAAAAATGGCCTAAAGAGGGTCTGTGAGACACCCAGTGTGCAATAGAGACTGAAATACAACACAGCTGCAGTATAAGTAAAATAATCTACTATATCATCCCCAATATATCTGTATTTTATAAGTGAAGTGTGGCCAAGTATGGTGACCCATACTCAGAATTTGCGCACACACAGTAGTGAACACACACCTAGAGCAGTGGGCAGCCATATTGCTGCGGCGCCCGGGGAGCAGTTGGGGGTTCGGTGCCTTGCTCAAGGGTCTCACCTCAGTCGTGGTATTGCGGAAGAGAGCACTGCCGGACCTGAGACTCGAACCCGCAACCTTCGGGTTACAAGTCCGACTTCAGGCCACGACTGCCCCCACATTCAGACATTCAGAGAGCTTTCACTTCACATTTTTTTAACAGTAGTTTCACAACAGCAACAGCAAACAAGAGCAAAACATGCATTTTTCACTGGTTTCCTCACATTTAGGGAATGAACATCAAGATATCAATAAATTCATAAAGGAAAAAAGTATTATCCTACAGTGCTGGGAGCCACAGCAGAGGTTCATCATGTTTAAAGGTAATAGGTGGAAGATGGTGAAGGAAAGAAACCTCTGCATAAGAAATGGCCTTTGTCTACCTGACCTTTTCCTTTCTACTTTGCATGGCGGTTCAAAGGCTTTGAGTCTCAGAGTTTAGAAAAAGCATGAATGACTCAAACTAACTGAACACGAGAAAACCTTTGACCTTTTAAGTCAAAATGATTGCAAATATAATGATGATTGCAATTTGGCTTCCACATTCTAATGTGATATGTGTGTTGTAAATGGAGACTTTTTGAAATATGAAATAAGAAAAACACATTTTCAATGATAATGAAATGCCTTAAACTGGGATGGCTTGAATGTTTAACCTTTATGAAATGCTCTATGGTCAGTGACAATACCATGTAAAATGCATAGCCTACAATGTGATCAAAAGGAAATACATTTTATAAAGGTAAAATGACAATTCTCAAATTTCAGTATATTTATATATTTATACTGACCATCCTATTTGCAGAGCACTTTAATGGTTAGTGGCACTAGAGGCTTAATGTTTGTATTCATTGTCAATAAATGTACCAAAAAAAATTATTTCACAAATCTACAGTACACATTTCTGTGAGAACAGATGCCCTATTATGATGCTAGTGTTTTTGAATTACAAGCTCTAATGTGCAGTTCTATATTGCGTCCTGAGGATGGCAGGACAGTATCATGATATGAACACTTCTGTGGCCTGTAGCACGAAGCCGGTTTCAGTTTTTACCCAGGTAAGTTTGAGCAAACTCTGAGATTTCGAGCTCAAGAAGGTGGGTTGGTTTTGAGCGGGTTTCGCCACCATGGTAACTTACGCTACACTGCTACCCTGCTCCCATATTCTGAGTAAGAGACTGCAACCAAGCTGGACCAATCAGCTCTGAGCAAAGTAACATATATCTGACACAATAAAGCCACCCCCCTTTATCTCACTACAAATTAAAGTGTTGCAATTAACGGAGTTACTATTAATGATAGAAAATGGAATAATTACTTTATCAGGAAGTTACTAACAGAACACAGCCCAATATCTTCTAAAACATACTGGCATTCTAAATTTGAGTGCATTGACTGGAAATATGCATGGTTGCTGCCTAAAAAATATTGCATAACAAATAAGGTGAGAGAAGTACATTTTAAAATACTCCATCTGGTGTACCCTGTTAAAACTCTTTTTCTTAGATTTCGTACTGATGTAGATGTTATATGTGATTTCTGTGGGATTGAGAAAGAAAATGTTGTGCACTTATTTTTTAACTGCATTTATAGCTAAATGTTTTGGATAGTTTTGGAATGTTTCCTTTGTAAATGCCTAGGCATGAAAGTTTACTTTTCTGAAAAAGATGTATTTTTTTATTTTAATAGACAAAGATTACCACCAAATGTGGCCTTTATTGTTAATCTTTGTTTGATTATGGGGAAATACCATATACATAAACAGAAATGGGCTAAAGGAAAACCCAACTTTTTGTTATTTCAGATAGATATGAAAAATTATATTGAGTTACTACTTGGGTTGAAAAACAGTAAAGCAAAACGCACTAGGTCTCTTTTTGAAGCTTTTATGTTTTTTATATGATGATCTCATACCTGTTCTTTTTTTCTGTTTAGTTTTTTTTATAATTATAATTTTTTTTAATTTGTACCTGTATTATTATTTATATTATACTGTATATTTTCTATTTCTTTGTTGTAGTTTATATTTGTTCAGTACCTTTATATTATATGTTGCAAAACAATTTTTAAAAACTACAAGTTAAAGTTAATAGTGATACAATTTTAGAGACAAATCTTTTTGTTTATTATATTTGATAGATTATAATTAATATAATATATTCATATAGTTAATTACACTCTTAAAAATAAAGGTGCTTCAAAGGGTTCTTCAAGCGATGCCATAGAAGAACCATTTTTGGTTCCACAAAGAACCATTCAGTCAAAGTTCTTTAAAGAACCATCTCTTTCTTACCTTTTTATAATCTGAAGAACCTTCTTTCGCCACAAAGAACCTTTTGTGAAACAGAAAGGTTCTTCAGATGTTAAAGGTTCTTTATGGAACCATTTAGACAAAAAGGTTCTATGGCATCGTGAAGCACCTTTATTTTTAAGAGTGTATGAGTTAACAATTAATATTAAACTTAGCATTTAAATTAATAGGCTATATAACTATATACATATAAATACAAGGACGGTTCATCTTCAACAGAAAAGTGAATGGCGCTGACTCTTAGCGAGAAGTCAATCAAACTGATGCTTTCCATGTTCCTTGTGATTGGCAGTTTGCTGCACGTGTCACACTTTCAGGCGCACGTGCCTCAAACCTGAGTTGACAGAGAACGATTATACTGAGCGTTGTGCAACAGTTGATCCCGATCTAAACCAGGTGTCCTGACATTTCATCCTACCCGTCAGATTGTCCTACCAGGGCTTACTGCATGTGCAGATCAATATTGCGTCAATTTTCTCACGCTGAACGACACATAACTGTATTTTCATTAATGTAAGGGTAGGTTTAGGGTTGGGGTAGGTATAGGCGTTAATAAAGCATAATCTGATGGGTAGCATTTTTTTGTTGTCGCATTGTTCTACCGACTGTTTCAATGGGAGGTAGCACAATCTGAGGGTAGCACAACTCAAAACTTAGTCTGCAGCTCTGAGTTTGTCCATCTCTCTTCGTGCTACAGACCACTGAGCACAAAACCATATACTGAAGGTTGTTTGTGTTTTTTAGATTCATATGCCTTTTATGCTATTATGTATTTAAGAAATTTGGTATGATATTTAATTTGATAATATGTTTTTCCATATTTTTTACTGAATGGAAATTTAAAAAATGTGATAGCTCTTACCCAATACTTAATAGCAACGAACTTAATGAACAGAAAAAAACATGCATCACCAAATAGGCTATCTGTAATAGCTCATGGATAAATAAGTGAACACGATAAATCCCACAATAGGATGCATTAAAGCAAGCATCAAATATATTATGAAGGTAGATTAATCAGAAATTTCTTAGAACAATGTTGATTTTTTTTCTACATTTTCTACTTCTGCTTAGTTACATTTGTAACATGAAATACAAACAGCCTACAACAAATACAGAGAAACCATATCCTGACCAAAAAAGTGTGACAACTAGCCCAAATATATCTAAAGTTAACAGCTCCATGTGGATTTAGATCTATAAAAACCAGCAGAATCTTTTTACAGTGCACAAAAATGATATATATATAAAATGGTATATAATGATGCAACCCTGTTATGTTATAAAATCATCTGGAGAGGTCTTGTGACTCCTCCTGCAGTAGAATTTGGGCTGCTATACTGCAGAATTTGATACTGCCATGACTCACGTGCCTCTTTGAGGCCTGAATAAACGCAAGTGGGATGTGCCTACTGCGCTTTTCAACGGATATTCATAGATAAACAAACAAACAAAAAAGATCAATATTATAAATACTAATAGTATTTGTATCACTACCTTTTTCGCTCTACAAATTTCAGGAAGTAAAGGCCGCATGGCTGAATCCTTTGGAGTTTGTGGTACCCGGCGCTGAATCTATTTGGTAGCAGCCATCAGCTGATGCTCTATCAAGGTCACCCGCGCAGAGCATCATGGTCCCACCCCACACCGCATCCTAACCTAAACCTCGTCGAATAAGGTATCCCCACAGCACGAGGCGCTATGACGGAGCAGCTGTCACAAGGCGTGATGCGAAATACTAGTGGATAAATAAAGGGGCGGGGGTGAGGGTTTACGTGCGCGACCGGCGGTATTCCGTCAAAAGGGGAACGTGCGGGTGGTCGTGTCTTTGCGGCGTGTGACAACTGAAAAGAATACGTAACCGGCAGAGCGAATTTCTCTAGACTTCAGTGCCAGTGGGGCAACGGGAAGCCTGCGCACGCTAACGGGTGCTCGCGACGCACGAGAGAGCAGGTAACTGCAGCCTCAACGGATGAATTGTCAGATATTTAAATAGCGTAAGATGATTTACCAAAATAGCCTGATGCTGATAATTGTAGTAGCCACATCTTCTATGACCTTATTTGGCTGTTTAGTGTAACGTTAAATTAATTTAACAGCGTCTTTAATAAGCGGAGAAGAGTAGGCTAGTGAACATTGTGGTGAATGTTAAAATAGTAACGTTACATGCGCAGTGTGATCTATATTTTGTTGGTAATGAGAGCTGTGATAGTATAGTATTGCTTTGGCGCTTAAAAATTACCTGTAAAATGTTTAATGGTCAAAAACGGGTCTGAGGTGAAGAAGATGCTACCAAATCCACTTGTCAAACAAGTGGAGTCAGCAATGTGCAGAAACACCTGTTGTACGACAGTGTATAGTTTATATATGTATTTATTCATTTAAGAGTTGTTTTGTTTTGTTTTTGCACGGTAGAAGGAAGGTTCTGGGGGGGGGCATCACAAATTTGGGGGGAGGGTCAAAAAACAGTATCTCTTATTTTTACAGTACAAGTACGTATTTGTACATAATTCTTTCCAAAACGGTTTTCAGAAATTCGTTAAAGTTTACATGTTCGCCCTGAAGATGTAACTATGGCAACAGGAACGTAAACGTTACTCGAGCTTTGATATTCATTTCAGGATGAAGCATTTTAGCGAATCAAAAACACTACTGTATTTGTGTATTACTTAAATTATACATTTTAATATCATATATAGGCTTATACGCCACTAAATATGTCACTTGTGGTTTAACTTGTATGAGCGCTGAAAGATGTTGCGCGAGATGAGACGCAACAGATTGTTTAGGGAAAAACAAAATGGTATGATTCTCACACTACTTACGCTAATTTACTAATGTTTTACAGTTTTGCATTTTTAAAAGGTAAAATAGTCACGAATAGCGGGCATAAGGAGATTGTGTGCCCAGTATCACGTTCACTCGGAATCCATCAATCTTGGACGTTTCCACTCTGGCACGATGGAGGGGGAGAAGGTTAGTCCTTTTAACCTGTTTTCCTCAATCAGCACAGGCTGCTTTTGTGCTATAGTATAATGATCTGTTCCCACAAGACTCAACATGTATTTGAATATGACAGTTAATGCATTTTAGTTACGTAAAATGGTTTACATATGATGTAAGCCTATGTGTTGCATCTAGGAATCATGACTGTAATGAATGTAGGCCTAAATGCTTTGCATGACTAACCATTTTAGCTATGCAAATTATTTATATGTATATGCAGTCTTTGTTTCAGCACTGAATGTATGTCAGAAATCAATCAATATGATCATTCAGCAGTGTCGTGCAATCCCAGTGTGTTTGCTGTAGTCTCATTGAAAGGAATGTCAATGCAGCTGTTACCCTTAGGATGTTGCTATGACAATGAGGGAGTGGCCGAGATGCTGAGGATAGGATATAAAGGATATTAAGGCCTATTGGGATGTAAATGTTTAGGAGAGACAAGGAGAGAGAAGCAGAGTGGGTGCTGAAGTTGTTGTATTGGACGTTTATTTATATCCTCTTAACCCTCGCAACGTCAGCAGATTAAATCATTCTGGAATAAGATGTTGTGAGCAGATTAGATGTTTTTATTCATAGCTGTATACAGATGTTGGGACATTTCTGTCAAGGTTGTCTTGTAACTCTTTACTCCATTTCCAAATTGAGTGTTTGACTCGGAATGCATTTGTTAGATGACGTTTGCTTCGAAACTTCTTTCACTGAGTCATCGTGACTTGAGTGTATTTGTTTGGGTACGGAAGAGAGAGAGAGAGAGAGAGAGAGAGTAATAGGAATAATAGGATCAGATTAAAAGGAAATGATGCTATTGATCTGCATTTTTTTCAGACAGTTACATCCTGTTGGTTTTGCTTGGATAAGGCCAAATGTTGTGCAACACTGCATCGACCTACACAGATGTCCGTGTTCTAGAACTACTACTGTATTTATTCAGATTATGGTGAACAGTATATACTCCTTTTGTTTTGATATAGTTCAATAATATCTTTAAGGTCACCTGTGTCGAATGTCTGACCATCTCAGCACCACACAGCCCTTCACAATTCACAGTGTCAGCACTGCTGTGTCCTATTGCCCTAGAAACCTGGAATCTGTAGTCGCAGTGTTGTCTTACAGCTGAAGGAAGGGCCATTTTAGGACATGGCTGATTTGTGATGATTAAGATGAGCTCTTTAATAATATGCTGTTGGCTGCTGTCATGTTTACATCCCATTATTTACTACATCAGTCAAAGCAGAGTGCAGTGTGAATACTAGATCTTTTTTCATTTCTTTAGAGAATTCAGTGAAGCAAACATTAATATGTATGTATGTGTGATTCATTTTAATAATCGAATTGTTTGGAATTTATTATATATTAACTATATATAAATAAATTATAGATTATTCTATGCTTAATATAATAATTATTACTATATGTTTTATATTTTTTATATCTTAAATAATAACATAAATATTTTGTTAAAATTTGGTCTATTACAGTTTGACAGTTTTTATTCTGTCAACTAAAACAGGGCTCTACGCTTATTTTTCTTTTTAGGAGCGCTTGTGCTGTAGACATCGGAAATTCAAATGCAAAAGGAATTGCGATTCCATTTGAGTTTTGGCAGGTTACATGCGCGACGCAGCGAGAGTGAAAAAGCAGACGTGGTAATTAATATTGCTATTTAAATATGACAGGCTCGTAACTCCTAAGACATGGGAAATACAGTTGCAAATGGACTTTGCTTTTTCATTTGAAATTTGGCCGTCACTGTGCTTTCGCGAAAGCGAAAATGCAAACGCTAATGCAGGATTTGCAATTGCATTTGGATTATGTCACAATTTATGCGTCCACATATTGAAAACGCAATTGAAAATACAATTTGCTATTCTATTTGAAAATTGTCCGGAATATCGTTCCATACCCCTCAGCGATCACAATCACAAATATGATGATGATCTGGTCAGTCGCACTGGTGCTCCTAAATATGTTTTCATAGTCGCACGCAGTAGTTTTCAGTCGCACTGTAGAGCCCTGCCAAAGTATATGTCCTTTTAGTCAGAGCAAAATTGAATAAAATGAATGAATATGACATGATGAATATTAAAGGACATTTTCACCCAAACACACACACACACAAAAGATTTAAGGCTTAACACTGTTCTTCTCTTTATTGCTGTCATTTTTCTCATTTCATCTGTTTGCTGCTGAATTAGTGTTTCTAATTCAGTTGAACTCCCTCCCAGGCTGTCTATATATTTCATTCAGCAGACGTAAATCTATTAATCTTGTGAATGGCTTGACCTTTTTTCATTATTTTCTTTTTGAGAAATCAGTCAAGCAAACGTTAACAATAGAATATATGGGAGTAGCCAGTAAACTGAGTTTAAAGAAACACACATCTCAAGAAAAAGTGATCAGCGTGACATCTTAATGTTGTTGAAATATTGTATAAATATAGACCATTTTGAATACAAAAATGTTTGTTTTTTATAAATAAATAGATTAAGTTTTTATGATCAAAATTTGAAGAAGAAAAAAAGTCAAACTAAAATGATGAATAACTAACCTTGAACCTTTTCTCTCTTGTTTTACAGAAACAGGTAACATGCTACCTCATGTTTTCTTTATTAACGGCTGTAATTGGCTCCCTACAGTTTGGCTTCAACACAGGAGTCATCAATGCCCCCGAACAGGTTAGTAGGTTTGTGTGTGTGTGTGTGTGTGTGTGTGTGTGTGTGTGGTACCAATCAAAAGTACAAACACACATATACATTCAAACTGTTGGGGTCAGTACAATTTTTTTTTAAAGATAAAGATAGTTAAACTGACAGTAAAGACATTTATAATGTTACAAACATATTTCTATTTCAAATTATTGCTGTTCTTTTGAACTTTCTATTTTTTAAAGAATCCTGAAAAAAAAATATTACAGTTTCACAAAGATATTAAGCCGTTTTTAACATTCATAATAATAAGAAATGTTTATTGATCACCAAATCAGCATATCAGAATGATTTCTGAAGGATCATGTGACACTGAAGACTGGAGTAATGACTTCTGAAAATTCATAATGATATTATAGAAATAAATTTAATTTTAAAGTATGGTAACAGAAAACAGTTATTATAAATTGTAATAATATTTCTCAGTATGACTGTTGAAATAAAAGCAGCCTAGGTGAGCATGAGAGACTTCTTTTAAAAACATTAAAAAGGCCCCGAACATTTCAACAGTTACACATTAAAACACACACACACACACAAAGGGGAGTATGGGAGTTATGCAGTGACCATCTTAAATGAAAACCTTTTAACCTCTTAGAAACTGCGGGCATTTTTTAATGCCACATGGATGGAGCGTTATGGGGAGCCCATCAAGCCGGGTGTGTGCACCATTGTGTGGAGTTTTGCTGTGGCCATCTTTAGTGTGGGTGGAATGGTGGGATCATTCAGTGTCGGTGTCGTAGCCAACAAATTTGGAAGGTGAGTGGAAATTAATCTATTATGTGTAATATGGCAAGTGTTGACCAGTTTGGACTGAACCTGACATATCTTTTGTGGAAATCCTGTGCTCAGAAACTTTTGCGTTTTAAATCAAAAGAAAGAAATCCTAAGCTTGTGACTTCTTCCGTGTCATTACTCATATAGGTTTACAGTCATCGGTAAAGACACAATGAGGTCAGAGCCATGGCCTAGTGCTTAATGCATTTCTTTCCAGCACATTGCACCATGGAGCTAATGCTGACATTATGGGTTTGAACCATTACCCAGTTCACATTATCTCCATCATAGGGTGTTCAAATTACCTGTATGTTCAAATTTAACCACTGAATTTTTAAATTAACCCAATTTATTGAGACAAACAACAAATATTTTTTGTTTTAACAGTTAAACACACAATATAAATTAAACAAATATCTAATTTCTAATGTTTTATATGCAGATTAAATAGGTCTCAATGAATCTTTTGGTTTGTCTCCCGAGGCCACAGAAGGATGCAATGAGCAAAATAATGCAGCACATTTAAATTGTCAACACAAGGAAATAATTCTATAAAAAAACTGTGCATTACGTCTAAATTAACTCTTATATATTATTTCGTAAATTGCATTAACAATTATGAACAAAACAGCATCATGTATTTATGCATTGCTTAATCCAAAGAGCCGAATCGCCCATCACGCAGGTTGCATTTAAAAACATAAGAGATGCAGTGAAAAGGAATAAACCTCCACAAATTTGCGAAGTTTTTTCTAAAAGTTTAAACTGTTTTAACTTTGCATGGCTACATCTCTTGTGTAAGACGCGAGTGCAGCAGTCATATCTGTCCGTCTAAAAAGTGCGCTGAATATGCATCTGTGTGAATGGCTTGGTTTCGGTTTGCAACAAATCAAGATCTTCTCCGCACTGAGCTTCTATATGTCTCTAATATTTTGAATGCATAACACAGCAGCGGCACATCTTGTGGGCTAGACTAACAAAACATTAAAATGCAACAACGTCACTTACATCATTATCACCGCATCTCACGCGCCGCTGATGACGCTCCCTGATGCACACCTAACATTCAAATGCAAATGTTTATTTTAAATTCGACTAACTTTTTTATTCACAATCTCCTCATCACAGGCAGGCACAGCACTCAATTCAGCATGTGTTCGTGTTTGTGTGTGCTGTCTGCGTCACTCATAGCACGTGCCAATATCGTGCGCTATATCGAACATTTTTTTATATCGTTATCGAAGAAGGTGTACCGTCGATAAATATCGATACCGTTTTATCGCCCAGGCCTACTCCCATCATTCCCCGTCTTTTATTTTATGCATCAGTAAAGTGGAAAAAATATAAGAAAGATGTACAGAGAATTTTAGTGTAGTCATTTTAAATCCCAAGCGGGAGGTTGGAAATACTGAGGATTTTTATGAGTCTTTGTCTGTAAGCATGGTATTTTGCATATGTAATTCACTTGGGTGTTGATGCAGAAATTAGTAATGATTCTTAGAACATCCATATGTTGCAGAGGTATCAGCATGTAATATGCACTCTCAGTTAGATCATCCGAAGACGAATTCATAGATACTAGACATGGTAGAGTTACTTATATGAATGAGTGGTTTATCGTAAGCATGAATAAAAATAGTCTATAATACAACAGATTAATACAAAACAGCAATAATATACACAATGGCCTGAAGGATATGTGTATTCAATCAAAGAAAGGTTTTCCTATGAATTAATTAGAGAACAGTCCATTTCTCTGGGCATTATGTGTCTTTCTTATGAGGAAAATGAGGGAGTTTATCCCCTGCATTCCTTTTAGGCCATAAAACCAGTGATATCAGCATTGGTTACCATGGAACCAGAGGCCTGTTCTGCCTTTCTGAGGTGTTAGGTGCATTTCGGGGGAAGGGTCCATAGACCCTCGTAATTGGCCATTTGGTTAGGTGATGGGGAGTTCGATATTATTTGTTAAATATAACAAAAAGTTGTGTGTCTGATTGGTCCAAATGCTACAAATTCTATAAAAAAACTGTGCATTACGTCTAAATTAACTCTTATATATTATTTCGTAAATTGCATTAACAATTATGAACAAAACAGCATCATGTATTTATGCATTGCTTAATCCAAAGAGCCGAATCGCCCATCACGCAGGTTGCATTTAAAAACATAAGAGATGCAGTGAAAAGGAATAAACCTCCACAAATTTGCGAAGTTTTTTCTAAAAGTTTAAACTGTTTTAACTTTGCATGGCTACATCTCTTGTGTAAGACGCGAGTGCAGCAGTCATATCTGTCCGTCTAAAAAGTGCGCTGAATATGCATCTGTGTGAATGGCTTGGTTTCGGTTTGCAACAAATCAAGATCTTCTCCGCACTGAGCTTCTATATGTCTCTAATATTTTGAATGCATAACACAGCAGCGGCACATCTTGTGGGCTAGACTAACAAAACATTAAAATGCAACAACGTCACTTACATCATTATCACCGCATCTCACGCGCCGCTGATGACGCTCCCTGATGCACACCTAACATTCAAATGCAAATGTTTATTTTAAATTCGACTAACTTTTTTATTCACAATCTCCTCATCACAGGCAGGCACAGCACTCAATTCAGCATGTGTTCGTGTTTGTGTGTGCTGTCTGCGTCACTCATAGCACGTGCCAATATCGTGCGCTATATCGAACATTTTTTTATATCGTTATCGAAGAAGGTGTACCGTCGATAAATATCGATACCGTTTTATCGCCCAGGCCTACTCCCATCATTCCCCGTCTTTTATTTTATGCATCAGTAAAGTGGAAAAAATATAAGAAAGATGTACAGAGAATTTTAGTGTAGTCATTTTTCACTTGTGTTGTTGTGTTGGGAAACCAGAGCTAGATAATACATCAGCTTATGTCAGATTTACTCACAATGGTGCTTTTACTGGACAGTAAATGCTTAATTAATAATAAAAGCAGTTTACTGTAATGAGGGCACTCAGAGATGAAGAGTTGACCTCTCTGTCTTCCTGTCTGCTTGAACACTCTCCACACTGTCAGAACAGCCACATTCAAAGCACGCATTCATGTGTGCTCAGTGGCCATTGTTCTTTTTCTGTGGCCTTCTCTGCCACTCTCCCTGGTTTTGGCTGGTTTTTGATTTCGTCAGCAATAATCTAGAAGAAAAATCATCAAAAATTATACAATTCACAACATTACATTTTGATTATGTTGATAAATCCTTTATCATTTTAAATTATTAAATGATTATTAATTGATTTTTTTGTGTTTAAATGTTTGGGTCTATTACAGTTTGACATGTTTTATTCTGTCATTTTGCACGTTATTGTCAACTGAAAGTAGTATATATCATTTTAGTCAGAGTAAAATACAATAAAATGAACATGACGAGTATTGACTAAATGTTGTGGTTTTCAAAATTATGACAAAAAAACGGGTGTAAGTCTTAACATTGTGTTCTTCTCTTTCTTGCAGTCATTTTTCTCATTTTCGCTACTGCTGAATTAGTGTTTCTAATTCAATTGAACTCCATCCCCGTCTGTCTGTTTTTCTTTCTGCAGACGTAAATCTATGATCCTTGTGAATATCTTGGCTCTGATTGGCGGGGGTCTCATGGGACTGTGCACTCTCTGCTCCTCCTTTGAGATGGTCATTGCCGGTCGGCTAATTATTGGGTTGTTCTGTGGCCTCTTCACTGGTCTCACTCCAATGTATGTTGGGGAAGTGTCGCCGACTCCCCTCCGCGGGGCCTTTGGAACCCTGCACCAGCTTGGTGTCGTGATTGGCATCTTAATCGCACAGGTAAAGCATTCTATGTCGCAGCAATGTAGTTTGTTGCCCTTACAGTATTTTTTGATTTTGGATATGACCAGATGGTTTATAAAAAATGTGTAAATCATTTCAAGAGCCTTGTGGCCTCATTATATGTTTGTGTCACAACAAAGCCTTGGGGAAATATCCCCTCTAATTAGTTTTGATGCACTTCTGTTACATGAAGCTTCTAATTGAATCTGCCTATCCATTTTTAAGTCTGCTAGCCTAAATTATCCCATCATAACCTAATCGGTTTTAATTTGATATTTGTAAATGTTCAAGTTTCTTATAAGTCGTGTCCTTTTCCATCTAGGTTTTTGGTTTGGAGTATCTGCTGGGTTCAGATAAGCTCTGGCCTGTACTTCTAGCTCTAACCGTGCTACCTGCCATTCTGCAATGTTTACTGCTTCCGTTCTGTCCAGAGAGCCCTCGATACCTGCTCATTAACCTCAATGAGGAAGAACAGGCCCGCAAAGGTAAGAAAGAGTTTATGTGTGCTTTATCTCCACTGAAATGCAGCCATACTTCACTGAACAGCTTAGGCTGAAAGAATGTTCATAGTGATGAAAGCAAACTACAGCAAATACATTTTTTGCATTGCCTTTTGTTTCAATAGAAAATGTAAAAATCCATGATGGCTTTACAAAAGAGGGAGTAAATATCAAGAGATTACGTTGGTCAGAAAGAAAAAAATGCCAAATTTGCCACCACTCACTCACGCAGCAGCGTGAACCTAAACAATTTTTTATTTGGTGAATAACGTTCTTCTGTGTGGCAATGAAATTGTGCCAAATGCACTTAACCTTATGTTTTCACTTAACACTGATTAGGCTATGTAATTGAGTGTGCTGATGACAAAATGAGCTAAAACATCTGCTTAAACAGGAGCCCTTTATTAAATAACATATACAGCTTTTCATTTACTGGAGCTTGATGATTAATTTAAAATAAATGTGTAATATATGCCAGCTAGCACAGCTATGCTGTAAAATGCTTTTTTAAAAACTCCATCTTCAAAATTTTGTTCCGTTTGAGCATCTTGACCAGCCCAACACAGCAAACCTGGCTTTGAGCGGGACTATCAGTGGCAGCTGGCAAGTATTCAGGAAACCTGTTTCCTGAACAATCAGTCTTTGCAATTCTGTTTGGTGATGCTAGGTGTTGGTGAAATTGTACACTGTCACACTGTATTGTACAAGCCAGATAAAGTTGTGATATAATTTATGCTACATGTATAATATGACAGGTTTTGATAAAGGGGTCATATGATGTTGCTAAAACTAACATTATTTTGTGTATTTGGTGTAATCAAATGTGTTTATGCGGTTTAAGGTAAAAAAAAACACATTATTTTCCACATACTGTACATTATTGTTTCTCCTCTATGCCCCGCCTTTCGGAAACGCGTCGATTTTTTCAAAGCTCATCGGTCTGAAAAGCGAGGTGTGCTGTGATTGGCCAGCTATTCGGTGCGTTGTGATTGGCCGAATACCTCAAGCGTGTGATGGAAATGTGGAAATGTTACGCTCCTACCATACTGTGATTCCCTGTCAGGCCGGAGCGTAACATAAAACCATATCTGCATTTGTGATCGGAGAAATGGCAAACAACAAGCACTACTCTACACTGCCCAAAACTTGTGTTTGAATCATCAGTGGCAAATTCTTTAAATATAAAAAGCGTATTTACAGTCTGTGAGTCAGAACAGCCGGCATTGTAGTCTACTCTACCAGGATCAGGAAACAGTCCTCCATAAAATGTGCTGCACACATCTGAGTATTTGGGTTGAAGTGTTCTGGAACAGTGTTGTAAATACAACTTAACCACTGATTTCTAGTCGTGTCCTCTTTTGGAAGACCAAACAAAGTAATTTCGCTTTCACAACGAAACAGCGTCACACGCGGCGGCGGCCTAGAGTGAGCGGAGGCAGGCGGCTAGAGTGAGGAACTGCTGGCGGGCTGAGTGAGAGGAGGCCGGTGAGCATGAGAACGGTGCTGCCGGCGGGCTTGCGGCAACCACATGTGATGACCCCGGGCTGGACTCCCCTTCGTCCACGGTGAAAGCCAATACGTATTTCCTCAGCGACCAGCACGGATCAGCTC